CACCAAGCGTACGCACACGTAGAATGCCACTTGGCAGCCTGGCAGGTCACCCACACTGATGGGAAGGAAGTGTGTTTAGAAGAGCGCTGACCATCAGGAAAGGTTGAGGACTCAAGGTACTAGAATTTTTAATAAAGTCAAAGAGAAGGGAAGGTGGTCATGAGGGACTGTGGATGCTGGAAGAATCAGCATAGGACCCAGCAATTCCACTCCTAGATACCTACCCAGGAGAAATGAAAGCATGGCCACACAAAGACCTGTATGCGCCCTAGCCGGTTTGCTCAGTGGATAGAGTGTTGGCCTGTGGACTGAAGGGTCCTGAGTTTGATTCCAGTCAAGGGCACATGCCCAAGTTGTGAGTTCAATCCCGAGTAGGGGGTGTGCAGGAGGCAGCTGATCAATGATCCTCTCTCCCCATTGATGTTTCTATCTCTCTCTCCCTCTCCCTTCCTCTCTGAAAGCAATAAAAAAAAAAAATACATAAAAAGACCTGTATGGAAAGTTCACAGGGGCATCATGAGTAATAGCCAAAAAGTGGAAAGAACCCAAATATCCACTAACTGAGGAATGCGGTCTCTTCACATAACGGAATGCCATTCAGCAATACAAAGGAACAAAGCACCGACACATGCTATACAACACGGATGAACCTCCAAAACACTGTGCTAAGTGGAAGAAGCCAGTCACAGAGGAGCCACCTTGTCTGATTCCAGTTAATCAAACATCCAGCACAGGGAGGTCTACGGGAAGTAGAGTCGTGAGCACCTGGGCTCGGGGTCAGACTGAGGAGTGACTGTGAACAGGCATGAAGCTCCTTCTGTGGTGATGGGAATGTTCTAAAATCAGACTGTGGTGATGGCTGTACAACTCTGTAATATACCAAAAATCACTCAACTGTACACTTAAAATACAGCAGACCTGGCTCAAGAAGGGGTGTCTGACTTTAAATTTCTAATGGGGAGCAGTTTCCAGTCACAGCAGGGTCAGGGCTGAGACTCCAGGGTGTTTCTGGGACACGTGGACAGTATCCTGGAGTCGCCTCGCCCACCTGCTGTGACTGTTCATCGTGGGACACAGGACTGTCACCACCAGAAGGCTGAGGCTCTGTGAGGCTGAGACACAACCATGCTCACTAGGAGGCTACAATAGCTCTTTTAAATCATCTTCCTCCATCAGGTGCGCGGTGAGCTTTCTAGCTCTATCTTAGTCACCAAACCTGCCCTAGGTGTTAGCTGAAAAATGTCATCTGCCTTTGGGGTGTCATCGTGACCTGCTGCGCGGTCAGCACCTGAGGCTGAACTTCTGCAAGGCCCCGAGCACATTCTCCCGGGTGACAACGTCCTTGTCTTCCTCCTTCAGCCTCTCCTCCAGCATCTGCAGCACCTTCGTGCTCTGGGCAAGGTAGAGGCGACCTAGTAACACAACCAGAGATGAACACATAAAAGAGGGAAGACTGCTCTTGTGTTAAGTTCATGCTTCAAAACCACTTTCTATGAAACCTTTGTATTTAGCACATGCAGAGCTCGTATAATTTTAGATTCTAAAAAACTTATCTGTAAAAATAAAAGCGTATATGCTAATTAGACCAGATGTCCTTCCGTACAACCTTCCGGATGAAGCTGGGGCTGCGAGGGAAGCCTGGGTTCTGGGTGCCAGAGGGAAGCTGGTGCTGGCAGCCAGGGGAAGGAAGGCCTACTCTTGCACAAATTTTGTGCATTGGGCCTCTAGTTAACACATATTTCTTCTGAAAAATTGGTTTTAGTCAATCAACTATCTAGTAATAGAACACCCCTTCTTGTAATCTAAACCTAATTTCCCACTGTGTCCTTGTGGGGAACATTGTCCTTTATTCACCTGAAATCTTGAACCCGAAAGTCAGAATGAGGAGAACAGGGAAGGAAACCTGTGGGTCATAAACCCGTTAGCAATGCTTCCTGGCCACACCCCTTGCTCCTTCTGGACGTGCCCAGAGAGGTTGGGATCAGACCTGGAACCCTAGAGTAGGGCTTGAATTATCACTAGCCTGTTGTGTATTGATACAAATGATAATTTTGGACATAAGTTTCAACAGTATTATATAAGTGGTCCCTGCACATACCCTGGCTTATGATAACTGTTTGCTAAACAGATGAAAACTGTACAAATAAGTGAAGGGACAAGTTTTTGGAGCATCATATAGTCATCATTTGAAACTCTCTTTATTCACTCTAACAAGAGCTCAAATTAAACCTGGGAGACAACGACACTTTGTAAAATCATTTGAATTCAGTCACACTGGCATGTAATCTTTGGAGCTTTTAAATCTTCTATTCTTTTGCAGGAAATGATGCAATTATTGGGATCAGCTTTAATTGTGTCACCAGCCTTAACGTACTGATATAGAAAATTATAGAAAATGTATTATCTATTAGATATCTGAAGGCAATCCAAAACGTACAGTTATAAAACAGAAAGCTTATAAAATAAAGCCAGAAGGTTTACAAAAGAAACTCCAAAAATCAAAATTTTCTCTGGCATAAACTACAGCAATATGACATCTAATTTTCACAAAAAACCTTCGATGTATTAAACAGGCATAAACTGAGGAAACATACATCATCTCTAAAAAGCTTGGAGAAGAACGTCCATTTTTAAAGGGAAAAAAATGCATGAATAAGGCCTAGCTCTTCTCTTCGAAGAAAGGCTGCATCTCACCTTCTGCCAGGGACGCGATGGCGTTGATGAGCCTGGCCGTGTACTGGCGCACCACGTCACTCCTGCCGTGCAGCAGCTGCAGCACGCTGCTCTGCGGGGGGCAGAGGGGCAAGGACAAGGGAATCAGAGACCGGGAGAGGCCAGCGAGGCTCCTCCGGGGGGCGCTGTTGTCCTCCTCTGCACAAACTCATTACAAGTGAGATAAACAGACTAAAGCCAAACAGTTCGTCAGAAAATCTTGATGGCCAGCTGATTTGTCCTGAGATTTGATGAATATCAGTCATTCAAACTTTTAAATTAAAAGAATTATATGATGGGTACTCGACTTATCAGGGTGATCACTTACGAAGTTATATAAATGTCTAATCACTATGTTATACACCTGAAACTAATATAATACCATATGTCAACTGTAATTGAAAAATGAAAAACTTATTTAAAAAAAAGAATTACTTATACAAAGCATTAGAACAGTTATTAACATAAAGGCAGCAATACGGTTTGCTCTTATGGCTGATGTTTTTCCAGGTTAGGATGACAGATCCAACACACACTTCTATTTTGCTCCCTGAAGCCACAGTAAAACTATAGTAAATGGATTTTAAATAATGACACTAATTCTCAAGATCAGAGAGAACAGCAAAATAAATTATAACAACACAATTTTGAAAGTGGGAATACAGATGGAAACAGACTTAGTAGACTCAAGAATGCTATGTGGGCAATGAGGAGGTAACCTCACTTACATCATTTAATCCTCAAAGGCTCAAGAC